AGATTTTTGATCAGATTCAGGTCTGGGCCATTCCAAAACTTTAATCTTCTTCTGGTGAAACCAGTCCTTTGTTGATTTGGATGTGTGCTTTGGGTTGTTGTGAAAGATGAAGTTCCTGTTCATGTTCCGCTTTCTAGCAGAAGCCTGAAGGTTTTGTGCCAATATTGACTGGCATTTGGAACAGTTTATAAATTCCCTCTACCTTAACTAAGGCCCCAGTTCCAGCTGAAGAAAATATCCCCAAAAGCATGATGCTGCCACCACCATGCTTCACTGTGGGGATGGTGTCTTTTGGTGAGGTGCAGTGTTTTTGCGCCAAACATATCTTTCAGAATTATGGCCACAAAGTTCAACCTTACTTAAATCAGACCATAGCACATTTTCCCACATGCTTTTGGGAGACTTCAGATGGGTTTTTGCAAAATTTAGCCAGGCTTGGATGTTTTTCTTCATAAGAAATGGCTTCTGTCTTGCCACCCTATCCCATTGCCCAGACATATGAAGAAGGATATGGGAGATTGTTGTCACATGTACCACACAGCCAACACTTGCCAGATATTCGTGCAGCTCTTTTAATGTTGCTGTAGGTCTCTTGGCAACCTCACAGACCAGTTGTTTTCTTCTGGTCTTTTCATCAATTGTAGAGGGACGTCCAGTTCTTGGTAATGTCACTGTTGCACCATATTTTCTCCACTTGATGATGACTGTTTCACTGTGTTCCATGGAAGGGGGAGAGAGATACTAAAACTAGCCATAAACTTAACAGCTGTCAAAAGGCTCACACAGCATCTGCCTAGATGCAAGCACTGTTCGGCTGCCAACTTTCCCGAACAGTTCCTCTGCTTTTCTTTTTCTAATAAAAAAAAGGGGTGTCAGGTGGGACATGACTGAAAGGGCCATTCAATGAGCAAAATTAGCTCCATATACACTATATTACCAAAAGTATTAGGACATCTCTCCAAATATAAATGAAGGAATGCGCTAAATAATAAATCACCACAAAGAATATATAAATATTAAATATATAAGAAATATGGACATTATTTTTGCATTTAAGTCCAACCACCATCAAAAGTGATAATCAATTCTGAAATCTTGTATAACACAAATAACACTGAGAAAATCCACCACCGAATGAAATGAATAAACTCACCAGAGCTATATGCTGATCAAATTATAAATCAGCATAATAGCTATTGCTCTGGGAGCGATGATTTGTAGGAGGTATCCAAAGTGTGGGAGCAATACACTGCAATCAGCACAGATGGAACAACCTTATTGGCAAGTGGTCATCGTTTCTCCATGAATATTGGTAATACTTGGGGAATCAAGAAAAGATATAATGGTGCAGTACAGGTTAAAAAAAAAAACAACATACTTTATTAAGCGTCAGATGTGCACTCACAAGGAAGGTGTCTGAGCCGACATCAGCAATGACAGCCTCTGAAACAGCAGGGACGAGCCTCGCTCACCACGATACCACAACCGACAGTCTTGAGGAGCGTCCTGACGTGAGGACATCAAATGACGAAATGCGTAGGGTGGGGCTTAATGGATGTGACGTCAGGACGCTCTTCGAGACTATCGGTTATGGTATCGCAGTGAGCGAGGCTCGTCCCTGCTGTTTCAGAGGCTGTCATTGCTGATGTCGGCTCAGACACCTTCCTTGTGAGTGCATATCTGACGCTTAATAAAGTATGTGTTTTTTAAAACGTACTGCACCATTATATATCTTTCCTTGATTCCCCGAGTATTACCAATATTCATGGAGAGATGACTACTTGCCAATAAGGTTGTTCCATCTGTGCCGATTGCAGTGTATTGCTCTCACACTTTGGATGCATCTACAAATCATCGCTCCCAGAGCAATAGCTAATATGCCGATTTATAATTTGATCAGCATATAGCTCTGGTGAGTTTATTCATTTCATGCGGTGGTGGATTTTCTCACAGTGTTATTTGCTTTATACAAGATTTCAGAATTGATTATCACTTTTGATGGTAGTTGGACTTCTATAAATATTCAATAATAAATGCAAAAATAATGTCCATATTTCTTTATATATTTGTTGTGATTATTTAGCGCATTCCTTTACATTATACACCATTTTTGGGTTAGGTTTGCAGCTGTATTTTTTATTTTTTGACTAATATCACATTTTTTGTTGGTGTTTTTTCTATTATCATTACATCCCTCCAAATCACTGGATTCAGGTGTTCCAATCACCTCCACGGCCACAGGTGTATAAAATCAAGCACCTAGGCATACAGACTGCTTCTGCAAATATTTGTGAAAGAATGGGTCGATCTCAGGAGCTCAGTGAATTCAAGTGTGGTACCGTGATAGGTTGCCACCTGTGCAATAAGTCCATCTGTGAAATTTCCTTACTACTAAATATTCCACGGTCAACAGTTAGTGGTATTATAAACACAATGGAAGCAACTGGGAACAGCAGCAACTCTGCCACCAAGTGGTAAACCACGTAAAATGACACAGCAGGGTCAGCGCAAGCTGAAGCGTAGTGCACAGACATCACCAACTGTCTATTACTAGAGCTAAAAGTCAATAGCTACAGACCTCCAAAAACTTTGTGTGGCCTTCAGATTAGCACAAACCGTGCACAGAGAGCTTCATGGAATAGGTTTCCATGGCCGAGCAGCTACATCCAAGTCTTACATCACCAACTGCAAAGCAAAGTGTCAGATGCAGTGGTGTAAAGCTCGCTGCCACTGTACTCTAGAGCAGTGGAGACATGTTCTCTGGAGTAACGAATCACGCTTCTCTGTGACAATTCGATGGAAGTGTCTGCGTTTGGCAGCTGCCAGAAGGTACTTGCCTGACTGCATTGTGCCAAGTGTAAAGTTTGGTGGAGGGGGGGGGATTATGGTGTGGGGTTGTTTTTCAGGGGTTAGCCTTGGCCCCTTCTTTCCAGAGAAGGCATCAGCATACAAAGACATTTTGGACAATTTCATGCTCCCAACATGACTGCGCACCAGTGCGCAAAGCAAGGTTCAAAGCCATGGCTGAGTGTGCAGGCCAGTCAAGTTCCTCCACCTGACCTCAACCTGACAGAACACCTTTGGGATGGATGCGAATGGAGACAGCAAGCCAGGCCGCCTCAACCGACATCAGTGCCTGACCTCACAAAATGCGCTTCTGGAAGAATGGTCAAACATTCCCATAGACACACTCCTGAACCTTGTGGACAGCCTTCCCAGAAGAGTTGAAGCTGTTATATCTGCAAAGGGTGGGCCAACTCAATACTGAACCCTACGGACTAAGACTGGGATGCCATTAAAGTTCATATGCGTGTACAGGCATGCATCCCAATACTTTTGGCAATATAGTGTGTGTCCAGCAGAAAGTAAACCTCCAAGAAAGGAAAAATTTGTCCCATGCAGTGGGGGGGCTTCTTTGTTTGTGGGTCTTTCTGACTTTAGTTTTGCCTTCAGCAAGTGAAATGCATGCACAATTGGGTTGAGATCAGGTGATTGACTTGGTTATTGAATATTCCACCACTTTTCCTTCAAAAGCTCCTGGGTTGCTTTTGCAGTGTGTTCTAGCTCATTGTCCATCTGTAATGCAAAGCCATGCATGCCCATGCCACCACACCAAAAAAAAAAAAAAAAAATTCTCAGTTCTAATTTAAGCTTCCCAATATAACTTGGGGGTGGGGGATGCACTGAGGCAGTAATATACTAACCATTATAAAAGGAAAACAGCTAGAAAGGGGGGAAAGGAGCGCTTCATAAACATGTTTCCTGTGACCTGAATATCTAAGAAAAAATGCTAGCATCTTAAATGTATATGCATTTTTTTTTTCTCAAACTATAACTGGGTGGAATGTTGAATCTTTTTAACAGCAAGGATACGATAGGAGGCATCATCTTTAGGTGAGGACAAATCGTCTGCAGATTTATGGGACTTTAAATATGCCTCAAAACTCTTTCATAAAACGCATAAACTTCAGTCCTCAGTGCAAATATCTATGTACTTTTGTGTCTGCCAAAAAGTAAAAACGTGTATAACTTTTTTTTATATCTCTCATTCGTAATAAAAATTGTGATAATTTTTAATGTTTGTGTGTTGCTCTGTCATTTTTTGGAGGCATATTTAAAGTCCCATAAAATTTCCAGATGATTTGTTATTTTTATAGTTATAATGGTTTTAGGTTATGTGTCTTCTTAGATACTAAATACAGAGTGGAGTTTTTTTTAAATTACACAAGATTGCGTATGTATTTAAGTTTTCACAATTCTGCCATTAAAATTACTTTAATGTTTTCATAAAGTGTACATCTATATTACTAAACATTCCAGAGAAGGAAATGAACCCGCACACCCTACAATACAATGATTTGTGTTTGGTACAAATATAAAAGTGCAAAGCAAAATTTTAAAAAACAAACCTGAACACAAAGTTGACAAAATGTCAATTCCATACTATCAGTGAGATTCAGGATGCACATTTTTTATTGAAGTAAAGAATTTCCTCCTTGTACAGTCAGCCATTGTACAATATATCACCTCATATATTCACTTGTCACAGTATTCCAGACACTTGTGCCAATCAGATTATGCCGCCGTCCAGTTAAAACATATAATAAACACTTTAAATGCTTCAAGCCCTGTATATTTTTTTTTTAAAAGTAAAACAAAAAAAAACAAACAAACAACACACACAGGATATAGAGACTTGACAAGACACTTAAAGGAAAAAACAAACACAGACATTCACACAACACACACCCACCTGTAGCCACAAAACTTCCAGAGTAGCATTGTAAAGATTAGGTTACCTCAGTTAGCAATAGATCTTTTTATGTACACCTATTAGTTATTTACATAAAAGGGCTAACTATCCAGTTGAAGAAAAAAAAAAAAAAAAAACAAAGTAAAGGCTCTTGTGTCAAAGTATGTGCAGTTTCATATCCCCATGAATATGTACAATGTAAACAGCATGGGGTATGAAGGTCCTCCTCAACAAGACCAATACCATTTTAATCCTCTTCAAATTCTGACTCCGACTTCTTGCAAACTGTTCGGTTAAGGCTGTGGAAAGCAGGCACCCAGCGATTGTCATGAAGTCCCACCTTACAGCCCCGACTATCTTTTTGAGACATGTGGCAGCACATCCAAAAACCAGGGCCATATGGCAAGGCTTGGCAGTAAGGTTTGGGGTGCCAAAGGCAGAGTGAGACGTCGCCTTTTGCGTACTTTTTCTTACACTGTTTGCAAGGGTCGTCTTTGTAACGAGGATCCCGAACCCACAACGAGTCGCATGGTCGAATGTCGTAATGTTCGATGATGAATTTGAAGTAGCAAGAGGTACATTTTAGGGCTGCCAGGGTTCGGGTGGGAAGATAACGAAAGATCTTCACCAGGATGTGGTGGGGCAAAAATGCCATGTACTGCTGAGGCTCCAACAGCTGCTGAATTTTGAATCTGGTCTCAAGAAAATCATGCGACACCTGTCTCTTAACAGAGCAGGAGTCAAGTACCTGAGTTACATTTCCAAGTGAAGATATAGTGACTGAGTATTGTGCAATCATTGAGCTATTCTGCAAACACAGAGTATTGTCAAATGACTTTTTCTCCAGGTTCTCTGCCCCAGACTTCACTTCAGGACTGAACTGTCCATGTGCACGTTTTGAACCTTTTTGATCATTCTGAAAAAATATTTTCCCTGGAGAAGAGTCTCCAGTTAAAGCTTTATCCTGTATGTGCCCTACTTCCTGTTGTGACAATGTGTTCATGAATACACTGGCAGCCTTAAGAGCGGTGGAGTCAGAAGTAGCCTCCACTTTTTTATCAGCTGCTCGGTCATTGAGAGTCGAACTCTCAAACGAATTAGGGACACATTCGACAGCTTTTATACAGACAGAAATCGAAAATTTACAAGGATCCACAGTTACCGCAATATCACCCTTACATCAATTTTAGATAAGTCTCCTTGACAATCTCCAAGCCTACACTGGCCACAAAACAGTCTTCTACAGGTGCCAAAGTCTCTGAATCTTGAGGCTTCGCTGAAGTAAGGTTTTCCCATGATTTCACAGAACAGAGGTCTTTCTTATTTTGCAGGATGTTATTTTCCATAGCAGAAGCAGCAAGGTCTTTATCAGGGTCAAGAGCAGTGGAAGGCTTGGTTGGATGGTTGGCACCTTGTTGCAAGCCACTGGCAAGCAGCATTCGCCCAACATGCCTCCTTAGGCTGTTACTTCTTGAAAGTCCTCCTGACTCCCGTTCATTCTGGTGCCTCAAACACTCAGACTCCAGTTTAGCAACCATTTCCAAGACACATACAGATTCCAGTTCTGACTTCTCAGAATGTTCGTTATCAGAAACAGCTTCACTAGCTTCAAGTGCCATCAAGGAAACACCTGGGTGGCCACATTTTGAAGGTCCAACACATTTCGAAGGATGAGAGTTGCTAAAAGGTTTTGCACAGTCTGAAAGTAATGCGCTTGCCCTTTGCTCTAGAAAAGCTACCATCTCTATTACAGAAAGAGGGCGAGAGGGGAGAATTCCATCATTATCAGTGACATAATTAATAGAGCAGTTTTCAATTCCCCCTGGGAAAGAGCAGTTTTCAATTCCCCCTGGGAAAGACTCAGGTAAGAGGCACATTTTATGCACCTCGTGCACCTTCTCCAGATGTTTTCCACGTTTTAGGTCCACCGATTTCTTTCTACGTTTAGCAGCTCTTCCGCTCATGTCCCCAGTGCTTTTTATCTTCATGGAGTTGTTCCTGTTATTGCAGTGATGAGATGCAAAGAAGGCGATCTTTTCCTTGGTATTCCCAGGCTTTATAAGTGCACAGCTGTCCACGTTGCACCCTCCATCCTCACCTTGGTGAATTGATGCATTTGAAACGTTCTTTGAACGTGTCTCAAAGCCATTAGATGGGCTCACGGATGTGGTATTGCACATGGTGTTCTGAGATATTGTCCCCAGTGGTTTGCGGGTTTGATTATCACTAGAGGGTAAACATTTCTTGGTTACGCCATTACACTGTTCTTCCTTAACGGAGCTTTGGTTGTTCAGATGCATGCCTTTATTTGACCGTAATTCTAGAACAGCAGCTTCTTTTTTCTGTAGCTTGTGATATGGCTTTAAAGGCATTCCAGAAGCCCTGCAAGAAAAATAAAGGGTGAGATATAATAGAATACTCATGTAAACAAGGTTACATGTAAGAACCAGATACAAAAAGCTTGAAGCCTGACTCCAGGCAAAATCTTTTTTCAAAAGAGTAGAAAAGAGTCCTAACATTTTATCAAGTTTTTATTGCAATGTGTGTCCACTTCTGATAACACCCCCAACTATCTGTGTTTGTTTTTCCCTTTTGCTTTAGTGACATTAGGGGGAAGAAAAACCGACAGGTCAAGGAACACAAATCCCTCTGACTCACAGCTAGCCTCAGTTTTCTAGCAAGCAAAAGGGAGATCATGAGAATGGATGGGAGGGTCCTGTGCCCTGTGCCCAGTTTTCAAATTTTACAGTACACTGGCTTTTTTTTCTATATCATTATGACTGGGATGTCCAAAAGCAGTATAGCATAGGGTGGGCAGCACAGCAAACAATACCTACAGTCCCACAGAGCAGGTCAAGGAGGGAAAAAAAAACAAACAAAAAAAACACAATTTGTTGAACCTTATGTCTGAAACTGACAAGAGAAGAGGCTTGAACTTCCACCTGATAAAACTGAAATGTGTCAACAGATGCAAGTCTTGCAAATCTGAGACACCAATACCTGATGCTTAAAAGACTACTACAGAAAAGTCCATAAAGCAGTAACAGATCTGGTAGAGTGAAGGATATTTTTTCTCCGATTAGAGGCACAGACTACAGGCTCCAATGATAACTTGTCTGATTCCACACAGCAATGGGGGAGCAAGAAGGTAGGGCAGCACTTGTGGGAAACTTCAGAAAGCAAAAAGAGGGAATCTTATTTTCAAGTCAGTAGCTGAAAGGAAAGCTCTCATGGTGCACACCATGTGCAAAAAAAGTTTCCTTAGGATGTTTTGAGCAGAACATATCCTGCTTAAGGTGAAGGCAGAGAACGCCTTTGGGAGGATAAAGGCTTTAGGCTTCAAGATACCTTTGTCCTTGTGTAACACCGAGTGGGTCTTCTACTGTAAGAAGCCTTTCTTACAGACTCTCCTCACAGGGGTGATAGCCACAAGAAAGGCCACCTTTTACTCAAGGTCCGACAAGGCACTATGCTTTCTTCTGAAGGGATGAGAGAGCCAGAGTGAGAACCCGAAGGAACCACAAGATTTGACCAGGGAGGAGAAATGAACTACCCCCTAAACAAAGGCCTTAACCAGACAGTGAGAGGCAAAGGATCTCAGAAAAAGAACCAAGGTCGAGATTTGTCCTTTGTGTCTGAACAGCATTTTAGCCCTTAGTTCCATTAGAGGTTGCTTTACTAAAAACTGGAGAGTGCAAAATCTGGTGCAGCTCGACATAGAAACCAATCAGCTTCTAACTTCAGCTTCAATTAAGTTTGAAAAATAAACCTGGGAGCGGACTGGTTTCTATGTCGAGCTGTACTAGATTTGCACTCTCCAGTTTTAGTAAATCAATCTCAGTGAATGGGGAGTCAAAATCTGGAGCAGCTGTGCATGGAAGCCAATCAGTTTCTAACTTCAGGTTGTTAAATTAGGTTTTGAAAAATAAAACCTGAAAGCCCAACTGCACCAGATTTTGCACGATCCAGTTTTAGTAAATCAACCCTATAGGGTGGTCCAAGGACTGGGTATGTTTGTCCTGTACTGCCAGAATGTTGAAGTGCGAGGTCTGGCGTGAGACTTGGGGCATGGCACTGTGGAAAGGAGGCCACCATGAGACCCAAAATCCTAATATGCAAGCACAAAATCAAGTGCTTCCTTTGTACACAGGATCCTGGTATAAGAAGAAAAAAGGGACAGAAATGTTATGGACAAAGACATGTTTATCATCAAACCTTGGCCCTCTAATCTGAGATATGTTCGGCAATGACTCAGCATCCTGAGATTTTTTTTTTTTTTTTTTTTTTAAGACCTCAATTGCTGACAGGTTTTCTCCCACTCCGACAACTAAAAAGGCCTTCAAGCCTGTTTACAAGAGTATATTCTTGGACAGAACATTGGAAGGCAAGGGACAAAAACCCTTCCAACATTGACAGTAAAAACACCTAGTGGCGCAGGCAAAATTTATTTATTTTTTTTAAATCTGGGCACTATTTCCACCAATAACCCAGCCATTCTGTAGAACTTACCCGAAAGTGGAGACTGAAATGGGCACCGTTGGCTTCTGCCCTGAACTTACCACTATAGCAGGAATAATGGGAATTAACCTTTCCTGCCCTTAACAATGAGCACAACCACACAGGGGTGTTCAAAGACTGGTCTCTGAACCAGACAGATTATGGCTCGGTTACACTCGGACCCTGCATATTCCACCAAGTGAGCCATGCAGTCCTCTATTCCAGAAGCTGCAGAGGCTATGGTGCAGTTGAGTTAGGCATAAATAATCTCAGATCCAGCCATAGGTGGTGGAGCTCTTTTCTCTACTCGAAATGAGAAGGGAAACTAAACTGATACGAGGCATGGAGGAGATCAACTATGAGGAAAAATTAGAGGAGCTGAATTTATTCTCTCGAGGAGAAGATTAAGGGGGGATATGATCAACATCTATAAATACATCAGTGGTTCATATAATGAACTCTGATGACCTCAGGGTGAATAGCTCCACACAGAGGACAAGGGGGCACGCTTTACATCTGGAGGAAAAGAGATTTATTCTCCAAATAAGGAAAGGCTTCTTCACAGTGTGCTGTGAAAATGTGGAATAGACTCCCTCAAGAGCTGGTTCTGGCCAGCTCAGTTGATTGCTTCAAAAAAGGCCTGGATTGTTTCTTAGATACACAGAATATAACTGGATACTAACATTTATAGGTAAAGTTGATCCAGGGAATATCCTATTGCCTCCCGGTTGATCAGGAAGGGATTTTTTTTTCCCCAGCAGGAGCAAATTGGATTGTGCTTTGCTGGGTTTTTTTGCCTTCCTCTGGATTAACTGTGGGTATAGGATTATAAATTTTTTTTTTTCTTCTTCTATGGTTGAACTGAATGGTCATTTTTCAGCCAGACCAACTATGTAACTATGTAACTTTGTAATAACTTCTAAGGACACAAGACATAATGGGAGGCCCCTACAGCCTGTGTGTTCAGAAATTATACAAGTGATGTGTGTACGCTGCTCGCTTACTTTTTTTTTTTTTTTTTTTTTAGAAAAAATGAAAAGGTGAATTTATACTTTTAAAAGCATTTTCAATATCCCTGAAGAAGTGTATTGCGTTTGGGATTTAGTTCATACCGCCTGATGCCCGGGACATGCAGCTCTGGGCACCAGGCAGGTAGTATTTTTTAAAAAAAAAAACAAAACTTAAATGCTGCGGGCAAACAGCAGGGCACACCATAGCCCAATTGCTTCCACACAGCCCTCTATGTACCTCCCCTGGCCCGCTTGCCAGCCTGCGGGCCTGGGGACCAGTCAGTGGCTGCTGGTGTGTATATGGGAGGGAGGAGAGCGGACACATCCGCTCCCCTCCCTTTCTTGTCCTGACCCAGAAGTGATGTTACATCACTTCCGGGTCCCCATTGACAGATTACTGGCCATGCGATGTGCAGTGCATTACATTACATTCAGTGGAGCACAGGAGAGACATGCAGGGTTGTCTGATGATTTTTGGTGACAGGTTTTTTTTTTTTTTTTTCCCCCACATAGGGGACTTTGTCCCCTATGTTATGTAAAGCAAAAAAGAAAAAGTTTTTTTATTTTTTAAAAACTAAAGTTACACCTAAACATAGAACTCTCCACCCAAAATTTTTCAAGGCCCTCCACCCTCACATATAAATGTAAAAGCACGTGCTAGGGTGTCTACATATGAAAACCACAACTGCAAATACACGTTACATATCGCCACGCACGCCAGAATTTTCGCATGAGATCTCCTCCGTAACGCTAAACTGATGACCTATAAGGGCTTTAACCATTAGCCGCCCGGCCAATGGCCGCTTCAGAAGTGTCTCTCCGTTCCAGGTACACACCATTTGGCGTGCTCCCGCACATGCGCCGTCTGCGCTAATGCAGAGCGGCGCAGCAGTGCAATCTGTCACTGGCCGTGCACCTCGGACACGGCCGATGACAGATCCGAGTACCGGCTCCAGTTGCTGGTACCATGTGACCTGCTGTGACCAATCACAGCAGGTCACATGACAGTTGTATACAATGGATGGCTTCATTCATGATGCCATCCATTGTATACTAGTGCCTAGCTGTGAATGGTCACAGCTAATCACATGCACATGTCATGCGATTAGCTGTGACCAAATTACAGCTAAGCACAAAAAAAAAAAAAAAAAAAAAAAAAAAGCTGAAGGAATCGATTTCATTCAGGTAAATGCTTGCTTATAGCAAAGTAATTCTTTGCTATAAGCAAATTGTGTAAAAAAAAAAAAAAAAATAATAATAATACTGATCACCTCCCCAAAGTAGTACAATGTTACTATGGTAACATTGTACTACTTTGGTCATAGTAATATATGAAAAAAAAAAAAAAAAAAAAATTATATATATATATATATATATATATATATATATATATATATATATATATATATATATATATAATTTTTTTTTTTTTTTTTTCCATACTGTCACCAGTCAGTGTCCCTGTTCACCGCCATGCCAGTTATATGATGACGCTGTACTGCACTGGTGACAGTATGTAAAAAAAAAAAAAATAGTGAAAATAATTTTTTTAATTTTTTCATTTTCCGAAAAATTAGGACAAAAAAAAATACAACTTCAAAAAAACTCGCCATGCCTCTTATGAAGTACGTCGGACTGTCTACTCTGCAAAAAGGGGTCATTTGGGGGATATCTGTACTGTTCTGACATTCTTGGACCTCAAAAAATTAGATTGGCCGTCAGTACTTCAGGATTGATCAATTTTCAGATATATACCATAGTTTGTGAACTCTATAACTTTCCTACAAACTAAAAAATACATCCTAATTTGGGTTATTTTCACCAAAGACATGTAGTAGAATACATCTCGGCCTAAATTTATGAAGAACAATTATT